CCACAGTGAGACAGATGCATAAAACTCCAGTTTATCTAGGTGGGCATAACTATTCAGCAAACTTTAATTAGTCACTAAATCAGTCTTTATGAGTTTGTTGACTGACTGATGTTTTTAAAATATTACTGTCTCTTCTTAAAATGTCTGCGTTTGTTATTTGTTATATTAACAAATATTGAATGCCATAATCTGGTGCTTAAGTACCCAGTATTGTAATTCAGCACTAATGACAATGCTGACATGACAGAACTATTAAACTGGATACAGTTGTCACATTTTCAGACAGCAAAATACTCGTCTGTGACACACAGCATATGGCACAAACCTGGGAAAATCATCAGCAGAGTTAAGAATAAATAGAAACTGTGTTCCCTAAAAAATATAATCTGACATCCAAACACGGATAATCTTGAGACGTATTTGACAGTCCATGAATTTAGTCAACAGATTATAAAATCAGAGGCTGCAGCACTGCATTTCCAGAGAACAAATCACAGCAGAGCTCCTAATGCTGAACTCGTGTGTAAACACGCTGCTTTTTCTATATACTCTGTAAAAAGATCATTAAAACACTACAGCTAATTATGCTTCAAGCCTCTGCAGAGTCACGTGCTAATATGTTTATCCAATTTTCATTTTTTGCTGCTCATCTCATACTTCAGCAATTTTGATGCACAGCACTTAAAAATGCCAGTGTTTGCTGGAGGAATCCTGAAGCAGTGCAGGAGCTGTCGCTCTGCCTGTGCAGATAAATCACCTGGAGCTGCAGCACATCTCCCAGCCCCTCACCTGAGTCATCTACTCCAGTGATCCCACGGGGTTAGAAAGGTGCCCTGAGGTGACAGAACAACAGAACACAGTTTCACTCCTCTTAATTAGCGTTCAGGTCAAGGATGGGGTCCCAATACACCAAATACAAAATATCTGTGTGTTCCTCTCCTTGGGGAAGACCATGGCTGTCATTCAGCCTGCTGCTCCTCAAGGAGACAGAGAGCTCTTTCAGCTCTTCATTCAGACCCTTCTAAGGTGGCAGGATTTCTGGTTTCCTTATCTCAGAGTTCATCTTGACATTTAATTTCAAGGTCGCATACCAGCATGTTATCTGAAGTTTGATGGTATGATACACAGAATCAAAGCAAAGGATTTGCAAGATTTTAAAAGAAATCTGGTTATATATTTTCTTGCCAAGAAATATCAAAGGAACAATTACAGAACACCTGCTTGTCCCTGAGTCTCCCAAGGGTCTCCAAGAGCCTCTTTCCTGCTCTGCATGTCACCTTCAGCTGGCTCTGAGCAGGCCTGGCACACAGCAAACCCTGGGGGCTGGCAGCTCATGGGTGTCTGCACTGAGTGCAGTAACTCTGGTTCAGCCCCAGCTCTGGGCTCTCGGTCCAGCCTGGCCACACGCTGCCCTCCTGCCGTGTGCTGGGTCAGGGACACGGATTGCAGAGCTCCCCTCGGGAAAAGGGAGCACCTTCCCCTGCTGTTTGCTCCAGCAGCAGGCTGGGCAGCAGTGCAGCAGTGCAGCAGTGCAGCAGTGCAGCAGTGCAGCAGTGCAGCAGGGCAGCAGCGCAGCAGGGCAGCAGCGCAGCAGTGCAGCAGGGCAGCAGTGCAGCAGGGCAGCAGTGCAGCAGGGCAGCAGTGCAGCAGGGCAGCAGTGCGGCAGGGCAGCAGGGCAGCAGGGCAGCAGTGCAGCAGTGCAGCAGTGCAGGGCTCGCTCTCAGGCAGGAGGGCTGCACTGACACCTGGAGCATCCACGCTCCCACATTCTTCTGCTAACAGGGAATTCCACTCACACTCACCACAAAGCCTTTGCCACTGCTCATAAAGCACAAAGACATCTTAAAATGAGCGGATATCACTGTTCCACCAATTTAAAACCACTTTTGACTGTCAGAGGTATAAAGGAGTTTTAGGATAAATAAGAGTATGGTAGTAATCTGATCTCATATCCACAGGGGGGGCAATTCTCGTCTCATTTACATCAGTTTTATTTTCATATAACTCCATTAGTTTCAGTATTTATTTTTGCATGAGTGACAGCAGAATTATGCCCAGCATAATCACACATGAAGTGTAAAAATCCAAGTTGACTAATTTCTCAGTATTAGCTACGAATGCTAGAAGCCAAAATAGAATCTCAATGGAGTAGTCCTTCAGTCTGGTCTTACTCATTATTTCCTCTCCATATCCAAGCTGGATGTGCCTCAGAGTTACTGAAAGAAGTATGAGGATGGAGCCAAGAAAAAGTAGTTCAGACAACCTGGGTTCTACTGAGTTTTAGTGTTCAAATAAAAGTAGATTTGCAGAGACTTCTTGGGGATTTGTATATCCTCTGCAGAGTTCTGCCTTGTTCAAAAGGAGAAGGAATAATGGCAGCAAAGTCTAAGAGCAGCTTGGTAAGGCAAGGAACTGGAGACAGTTGTTTCAAGTGATGAATCTCTCATTCAGTATTTTGCCCATCTCTGGTTGCTGTTGGTTGACTTGAGGTTTTATAGCTCTATACACAAGGAAGAAAGTTCAGGAAAGGACAATACTTTGGAGAATTCCCCTCCAAGCTCTGTTACTGTCCTTGAAAGCAGGTGATGGAGCCAGAGGTGAGGAATAAAAGGTAGTGGCCACAGCTATATTTTGGGGTTTTTTTTGGGGAATAAGAGGGTGCCAGGAACTGCAATGCACCATCCGAGGCAAGTTCCTGATCCTTCTCAGCAGACCACACCAGGCCTAGTCTAAATCAGCACAGGCAGTAATTCTTCATGAGCTGTTCATTGATTATCTCCCTTACCTAAAGTTTCAGGGAGTAGGTAAATCTGGAGAAAGTTGACTTTACCACAGAAATAACCCTGCACTATTGACTTAAATAATAATATATTGCCATTAATGGAGTATTTTGCTTGTTTCACCCTTCAGTTTTTAGTGTAAAACCAATTAACCCCTCCCACATCCATTAGATGAAGGCTGAGCCAGGGCAGAAATCCTGCCCTTTACACTTCCCACAACCTACTTTTCTCTCTTTCACTTGTGACACTGCTGTTGTGCCCCTGCAGCTCTCCTGAGCTGGTACAGGTCTGAACTGTGCTGTCTTGTGAGCTACCCAGTGTTCATGTCGAACACAGATCATTGCTTTCAAAAGCCTTCCTGATAAATAATAGATAAAAGAGAGGAGCCATGGCGTAATTTCAGGTTTGAGAGCTTCACACACCGGATTTACAACTGTTACATTTTCAAGGGTGTCAGGAAGAAGAAGGGAATACAAAACAGAAATGGGGAAAAGAGGCAAGAAGAGTTGAAAAAGGAGAGAGATTGTGGCCAAGCAGAAGGCTTGGAATGGAAACTGTGGGAAGCCTTAAATTGCATTGGTACCCACTGCTGTCCTGCAAAGGCACAGGTGTTCTGCCATGAGTGCAGAATCCCAGTGGGATCATCCCCTAACAGGAAGGGCAGAACCCTCATCCCCTCCAGCTATCAGCACTCATCCCAGCTCCCATTTATATCTCTTCTGAGGGCAACTGCTGGGCATCTTGAAGGGTTACAAATCCCCCAGTGTCCCTCAAACCAGCCTATTGGAAACCAGTCCATTGGAATGTCAGTGATCATCTCATCCTGGGGACCCCCACCCTGGGGACCCCATCCTTTGGGTGACCCCCTCCTCCAAGTGACCTCCCTTCCAAGGATTCTCTCCTCCTGGGGACCCCATCTGCTGTGTGGCCACCTCTCTTGAGGACCCCCCTCTCCCAGGGATTCCATTCTCTGAGAGATCCCCCTCCAGGGACTCCCATCCTCCAGGTAATCCCTGCCTCCAGTGACCTCCCTTCCAAGGTTTTCTCCTCCTGAGGACCTCACCTTCTGGAAGCCCCCCCCTTCCAGGGACATCCCCTGTTTCTGCAGCCCCCATTGCCAGGGACACTTCCAATATCAGCCAAGCAGTGATGAGCTGCTCTCAGATGTCGTGGTGGATCTGCCCCAGAACTGCTGTGTAACACTCACTACTACAGTTGACAATTTGTCATCATTTTTTTATAACAAAACCCCAGCTATTTCTCTAAAATTGGTGGTTTAAATAAATATTAATTTTTTCAATAACTCAATTGGGGGTTGAATGCAGAACATTGCATTTTTGGTTTTCATAATTTTTATTCCATTTTAATCATAACCAGAACATGTGAGGATTTATAAAATCAAATATAATGAAAATTAATACTAAAACCCATGTTTGACTGCAAACATGACCCCCCATAACTATTTTATAAATTTCTCAATTATTCAGAACAGATCTATTTTTAAAAATAACATAAATTGAAATTTGAAGAAATTAAAGAAAATTTTATCATCTGTGTTGTATTTCTCTCTCAGACTCAACATCTTTATAGAGCTATGGATGGTAGAAAGTATGTATTTGTTTCAGGAAGATTAGAAAAACACATCTGTGTTTTGTGAGTCTCAAATATCTTGGTATTTCATACTTTGGTTTGCCTCTTTTTTCCTGCAAATATCTTCTTTTTTTACTTTTTGAGAACAGTAACAAAAATAGAATTACTCTTTTTAAAAATATCTAGTTTTTGTAATGTTTTATTAATGTTTATCAACTCTGGTCTTGTCTTTCTGCCATCTGATGTGTCAAGATCACTCTGCATACCTCTGATGGCAGATATTCTTTTTGCCAAAACACTCTTGGGTTGGGTTACCAGCAAAGACAAGCCTTTGTGATACCTGTGAAAGATTCAGAATGGCAAATTTCATCAGTCTTTGAAACCAAATATATGCAAAGTGCTGCAATAGGCAGGGGAACAAAGACTCATTCCGTGTTCAGATAAAAGATTTCAATTTTTGCTTTTAGAAAACATTGCATGAAGTAACTAGGTCAGAGCTGTGCTAAACCCACACTTCATTTATCTGATATACGTGCTGCATAACAGTTCTGTTTAGTAGTTTAGATTTGACCTGAATTAAATATGAAGCTCAAAATATATGATAAAACAATAATAAGAGATCTGACTTACCACAAAGCTCCTGTGTTAAATATGTGACCGTCTTCTCCCTGTGAGGTTCAACACCACCCATGGTGCTCCTGGCCACAGCCCTGGCTCCTTCCCCCTGCTGCAGACACCTGGCAGGGCAGCCTGGGACAAACACACGGGGAAAAGTGCCTTCCTCCCTGCAGAGCTGCTGTGCCATAACACTGAAATCCAAAAGCCTCCTGAAAAGAAAGCAGCAAGCCTCAGTATTAGCTTTATTTCTGTAGGACTCACGTCTATTATTATCTCTCACAACGCCTGAGCAACATTTGTGCGAGGATCCCAAGGCATGGGCTCAGGAGTCTGGCAGCAGCCACAGAGCAGCTCCCAGCTCAGGTGTGCTGGTGATTGCCAGCAGTGCTTGCCTGGAGTCACAGAAATAAAAGGAACCACATGGAGAGGTGTCATCCCCTTTGGGATCCCCTGCAGTCAGCAGTGCAGCACGTCCTGAGGATGGCCACCATGGAAGGGGTGTTCAGCCCCCAGGAGGCCCCTGAGCCCTCCATCACCCATTAATAAATTATATTTATTTAAATTTAACAAGCCCCTGTCACTGCAGTGACCCAGAGCCTGCTCTCCTCACAGAGGAGGAGCACTGAGACTTGTCATGTCCAAAGGAACCAAAGGACCTTTGGTGAAGAGCTATAGGCCTTTCTTTTGATCAGGGTACAAAAAGGGCCTCACAGGAAGTACACAGCTCTTAGAAAAAATTCTTGAGGTAGATTCACACCACAGGTCAAAAGTAAATTATAGTTGGAACTCTCCTAGTGATGATAATTTCTGAATATATACTTGTACATATTCAACAACACCCACAAAAGCTGCAAATTCTTTCTTCTCTGCAGTACCATGAGATGCAGGCAATCCTGAGGTATCAGAAAAAATTAAAAACTGGGGAAAAATTTTTCTCTGAAGAGTGATTTGGAAAACATTTCACAAGGTGTTCTCTCATACATGGAAGTGGCCTGAAAAAATGTGTCTAATAGTCAAATCCATTAAATAGAATAGCTCATATACAAGGAAGTTTCCTAAGTTTAGCAGCTGTAATTTAACTTTCCTGCACTTTGTATATGTTCATCTCCATGACCATCTCCTTACAAGGCAGTTCCTTCACAGCACCTCTCATCAGCTCTGCTCCAGGTGCCAGGCTGTAAGAGAATTTGCAAATCAACCTCAACAGACCTTTTGTGATTAACTGTGCAAGAGGAGGAGCTGGCTTTCAGCTGCCAAAGCAGACCTTCCATGACACCACATTTTTTACTTCCCTGCCTTCACAGGATATTTCAGAGATATGTAAATCAAGAGTAGGGTGGATGTGTGCACTGCCTGACTGCATTAACAAATCTCTGCAAAACCTTTGCCTGCTTACCACAAGCCTCCACGTTGTTCAAGCCAGGGCACCTGAGAGAAGCTGTGAGCAGAGTCCACCAGGCTCCCTGTGTGCCACACTGCCCAAGAACCTTTGGCAATGGCAAAAGGAATAGGAAAGAAATTTTTCAAGGAAAAGCAAAGAAACCTACTCCTTGGCAAGCAGGAGTTGCTGCTCCAGTGCACCAGACCTGAACACAGGCATTGTGGACACAAATCTGCTTTATGTAAGAAGAAAACTGCAGTAGTGGCATTTTCTCTTTCAATACATCATGTCCAAAATGAGGAAATAAGTCAGGTTGCTAATGTACTTTTAAATGATATATGCTTATGTGTTATATAATGTATAAGCATTAAATATACTTTCTTTTCCCTTTTTGGGGGCAGCATACAGTTTTACTTGTGATTCAAACAAGTCTATAGTTTCTTCTCTAACACTTGAAGTAGGAAGCTGCAGTTGAGAGGAAGGGGAAAAGTGTTCTTCATATTCTGTGATGAGACATTTCTGAAGTAATCGATCTCCAGTGTGGTTTTCAGGGATTGCTTTCTTGCTTACAATTAGCTGAAGGCCTGCCAATTAATTCTCTGATTCCTAATTTAGCAGTCTCCCCAAGGAAGATTAATCAAATACCTGGGAACTGAAACTCAGCACTCTCCCAGGCAGTAAAACCTTGGGAGGCAGGATAGGCAGAGGTTTGGTGGTACAGCTTTCCTGCCCTTTTCCAATAGCCCTCTTCAGGCTTCCTTCTCCCTCCGGAGCCTGCAGGGGCTCATTAGCTAATTACCTATTTTGGCATTCCCAGATGCTCCTTTATGGCTAAGGAGTTAATGTTTTTCACACCTAATTATCGAGCTGATTATTAGAAGTCAAACACTGGGATAATTTGTTCACAGATTGGTCCAGACTTGAAGTTTATTCTTTGCCAGCCCTGCAAAAGTACTTCCACATCTGGAAGTGTATCCATTTTTTTCAAGCTCTTTTAGCTGGTTGCATGAAAATTATTTGCTGCCTCTTCAAATCTGGCCTTAGTGGGTTTTTTACTCTGACAATTTAGGCTACATGCAGTGGTCAGTGTCAGATTTTGCCCACTGGTTCCTCACTCTCGCCCTAAGGTGGCTTCCTGCTCACTGCCTGCTATTCTGAGACCATCAGATGTTTCTCTATAGGTTAATAAAACCTGGACTGAAGGTGGCCCTTCTGAATATACCCCACAAAGCCCACGTATGGATTAAAGATTAATTTTGATGGATAAACAGATTATGACAGTAGCATTCAAGTTTGCTCTGTTGACACTTCATGATTTCTTCTTTCCAGTTTATAGTGACTATTCAAGTCAAGCTGGATAACCCATTGGGATGGTGCCTGGTATTAAAGTGTTTGTTCTTGATTGAATAAGCACCATCTTCATCAGATTAAATCCCTAGGGATCTACCTCAACAACTTTCTTAATTAAAGTTTCAGCAACAGAAACCAAGGAGCTGTAAGACTCATGGGTTGTTACCTTTTGGGTCAACCTGACTCTAAACCCACACCCTGAAAAAAAAAAAAAGAAAATAAGAAAACATCCTCAGTAATTTAACTATTTTTCCTGCCAAAAAAAGGGAAAAAAAAAAGAATTTTTACATAATCATTAGTACAAAGGACCAACAGAAGAGATAGATGTAATGTCTCTCTGGAAACCCTACCATAAACATACATAAATTCCTTCAATAAATACAGGAGTGCTGGATTTAAACAGGTAAAATCATATGTTCAATATCTCTTTCTAGCTATAAATGCAATTCATTTTCTTATATAAGATCTATCTGAGGCACTATCCTAGAAAAATATGTCATTGTCAAATTAGCCCAATTCTGTACTGGGATCTAATATTCTTGTCCTTAAGATAGGTGTGATTTTCAACATGTGGGAGTACTCCAGAAATTCCTAAATCAGTGCCTGAGTGACAAAAATGATTAACACTTATAACATATATAGGATTTTTCAACAGAAAATACTAAATGGTTTTCATGGAGGAAATGTGCATAGTTAACTCCATCTTATGGATGGGGAAAAAAAGAGCTCTAGGCAAGTGCAGTGACATTTTAAAGGCTATCCCCACCCTACCAGTGCTACCAACAGATCCATTTCCTGTCCACTGCTCATTTTAGTCTCAGGGGATCTTTATTTCAATTCAGAAATGAATAAGAACAGTCATTGCCCAGTGATGCCAAAGATGCCAGCAAATCACAGAGAGGTGAGTGCTAAAGAAAAGTCAGTACAGACTTTCTCATAATATTTTTGCCAGGAAAGAACATCAGCTGTCTACTCTCCGGCCCTTAAATCTGATACTACTTGTTCCCAATTCCAGCTCCCAGGATATTTGATTAAAACACAGCTGGGACACTGCTACATTGCCTGAAGCACATCCATCCAACAGTCCAGCTCCCATTCCTCATTCCTTCATGGCAAAGGCAATTATTAACAATGGACATTGCACTTTTTCCTTTCTCTCTGCACAATCATTTAACTCCAGGCTGGCACCTTGCACACTCCCCAGGTGAGGGCTCTGTTGTAGGAGTTCCCTGCTCTGCTCGTGTGCCTTCACCACGGGGACAATGCCCAGGTATCCCAGAGGACCCCAGTGACAAATTCTCTCTTCTGAGATGTGACACAGTCGGGACCTTCTGTGCATCTCTGTGATCTGGGACTTGTGAGGATGTCTAAAAAAAATACCCTGCCCTGCCCTGCCCTTTGATTTCCATCTCTGGAGCTTCCAAGGGTTTCTCTGGCTCACACTCCGAGCCTAACTCTGTAGAAAACAGAATTCTGCTGGCCTTGCACCCAGTGCCATCACAAAACCTAAAGCTGAACAGTCAGTTGAAGTTAAAACTAGAACTTTTTCTGTAGAAGCCAGCTCCCTGCCTCTGCTCACATCCTGCTTTGTGCTGCAGTGACTGAGATTACTTTACAAGCACAAGTGAGATAATTTTCCAAAGCAGGGAAGAACAGACTAAAATAAAACAGAACAGGGCCTCCAGCTGGGAGCTTGTGCATATGAGGGAAAGAGATATGTGCAATAAAGTAACTATTTATCCATAATAAATATACTTTAAAAACATCAATTAGAGCTTGTCAGTACATGACTTCTGCATCAAATCCCTTTCAGGCAAATAATAATTATTAAAAATATGCTTACTGAGTTACTTTCCATTAAAAATGTTCTCACCTATTGAGCACTAAATTAACATACAATGAATTAACCATTTAAATAGCAATTACTTTCTTTAGTCACATCTATTAGAAGCAGTTATTTATGGATTCTTGATTATAATAGATCCAAGAAACTCATAAAATTACAACATGTCCATGTGTGTGTCTATCATTACTCCTAAAGTAATTGCAATTACAGGAGGCCAGTCAGCAAAATGCAGAAGCTGGGCTGAGGCTCTCTGGAAGACCAACAGCTACAAGATCTTTCTTGACAGCACATGGCTGGCCTGGTTTGCTGGAGGAATGAGAACTGAGGGGCCAGCCACTGGGGTGCTGCTGAGGGATGAGTGAAATATTCTGGATCATGTAAAGAAAGAGCGTAAAGGGCAATGTTTTGGGGGAGCTGCCTGGAAAAACACAATGAAAGCTGTAGCAGGAGCTTTCACCATATGATGCCAGTGAGGACTCCTTTTGTGTCATTCCTGGAGCGTTGTGTCAGGCAGAAAAATCTTAGCAGCCCATGCAAGGCACTGTTTGATCTGCAGCAGAGATGACAGTGAAAATCCCCTTAGCTCAGAGTGGCTTCTTTTATCCCTTG